CTCAGGTACACAGTCAACCCGCACAGCTAGGGAGCGGCCTGGATGGGGGTGAGGACTAGGGGGGGGCGTATCATGATTCAGTTCATGATGATTTCCGACACAGCAACCAGAGCGTCTGTTTGCACCTGCCGTATAAGATCGCTGTTGCCGCGCGGTCGGTAGGCACATTTCACCAATGGCGCAATGCGAACTTACCGCGTTGCAGATGTTCGTTGTTATTCACAGGGCTACCCCTTGCATCCTTGCCTCCTCTGCCCATCCTCGGCCGCTGTCGCTGGCCGCGCCGCGCTCGCAGGCTGTCGATATATGGCCTTCCAAGGCCCTTGCATCCTTCTCTCGGGGACGGCAAAGAAGGGGGGTGATGACTAGAGGGGGGTGGATATCATGGCGGGGCCCATGATATCTCCCCAGATTTCATGGCGCCTCTTCTTATTTCAATTCATCTCTGGCCCCCCCGCCTGGGCCGCGCACACGCCGCCGGCCATGATTTGCGCCCCCCTCTCTTGGACACCCCCCTCTTGGCCGCCCCCGATTATCGTGCGTCCTTATGATACGGGTCGACTGAAGAAGCGGTATCGGGCGGTGTGGGTATCCTCGGGCCGATGACTTCACGATTCGCACCGGTGCCGTCTGGGATTGTTAGCTACACCTTTAGCGCCATTCCCACACGGCGCATTGCGCGGATCGTGACGTTACCACAGGGGCGGGGGGAGGGGGCGGGGCGTCCACGCTACCAACGGGCGTCAATGTGCGAGTTGCTCAAGAGCGCGCTTGTGGGCCGATCTTGGCGGTGCAGGCCTCGGAAGCGTGCCAACTTTGAGTTTGAGGAAGCGGGGGAGTGTTCACTAATCGTTCCCCCCTCCTGTATCTTGGGGCCTTTGGGCAAGCGCACTGCAGAGTTGAATTCGTCGATCACGTGTGCCTGTCCGTGTCGTTTTGCCAAGATGGGAGCATTGGGGATCACCTCGGGCGACCTCGAAGCCAACCGGGGCGTCGCGGTGGTCGTCGGAGGCCTTCCTGCAGCGTCCTGTGGTGTGTCGGAGGCCTTGGGCATCATCATACCCGGAAGCGCACTGGGAGCAATCCCGGGCCGCCGCGTGCCTGCGGAGCCCTCCTGCGCGGCATCTGCAGGCCTCGCTCCTGCCCTGCCCGGGGAGGCAGGCGGGGGCGGAGGAGGCAGTGCTTGCCCGTTGCAAAGGTGTGCCGTGTCGGATCCTTTGGGGCTTCCGGTTCTGACAAGGCACGCTGGTCGTTGAAAGCAGGAACTCTTGGATTCCCAGATCCCAGCCTACTTCAGGCGCCTTGTTGCTTCAAGAATCGATGTGCCTTTGCTGTGTGTTGTTGTGCTCTGGGAGGACCTGAACTCAATCTACTTGGTCCGCCATCCTGTTCCATGTTTCTACCTACTTCTTCCAACCTCAGCGAACTTCTCACCTCTACGGAGAAAAAAAACACGGGGGGCTGGAGGGGAAGAGCGAGCGTGGCGCAGGAGCAGAGGGAGGCGGGCGGAGCAGGAGAACGGGGAGGAGGAGGGCTGGCACGAACGAAAGGGGCCCGTCCTGCTTCATGCTTTCACCTGTTTCTTCCGACCGGCGTGTGCTTGGGGTCCCGTGCCGCGGTTCCGTGGACGTCGGTCGACCGAACAGCCGATCTTGGCCGGACCGATCCTGGGCCCAGGGTAGCTGTGCATACGTCCTTGGCCGAGTCAGGGGGCGACCCTGTTCGGTAGCCAATCATGGGGGCCTGGTGTACCCTCTTAATTCCTTCTTTATCGTCGATTAGCGTCTGGTAGTCGATGAGATAGCACCGGTTTAATGTCGGTTAGCGTCGATTCGCGTCGACCTAGCGTCGACTAGCGTCGACCTAGCGTCGATTATTGTCGAGTTAGCGTCGACTCGCAAGAGCCGACAAGATGGTATGAGAGGCTCCCATGAGTTGCCACCGAACCATACAGGATTGGTGGGGTGGTCAGTTGATGTCACCCGAGCGGCTGGAGTGTGGGTGGGCGGCTGATCGCCTCAGCGCCCTCGCCTGAGCGGGCAGAACAGACCTCCATACAGGAGAAGTGCGCTTCAGCTGCGGCAAGGTGCGCCTTCCCCGACGGCACCTCAGGGGCCTAAGGGAGCCCGACGGTACGGCTGGGGGGCTGGACCTCTGCGTGCAGAGTGTAGGCAGATTGCAGAAGGGAGGCGTGGTGACAGGTAGGCGAGACACCATCAATCTTGGAAGCCCTCTCGGAAGCATCTTCGTCCTCCTCGTCCCTCTTGGAAGCCGGGTCACTCTTGGAAACATACTTTGAAGGTCGTCTTGGAAGCGCGAGGGCAAAGGGGCGCTCATTCCTGCCCTTTTCCTCCTTGTCCTTGTCATCGTCCTCCTCCGACTGTCCCCCGTTTCCTTCTCCTCGTTCTTCTGTTCCTCCTCGTCCGTATCCGTTTTTTCTCAAGATGCAAGGTTCTCATGTGAACCAAGTGGATAGCGGTGTTCCGCGGCTACACCCCAAGGTTACATCCAGTCAATCCCTTCAGTGAACTGCCCTGTGGCTCAGGTTTTTTTCCGCACACAAGGTTGCACCCAGGGTTGCTCTTAAGGTTTAACCGATGGTTTCATCTCGAGTGAGTGCGCGTTCCGTCGCGGGTTAACAGGGATGTTGCTTCTTCCTGCGTCGGAATGGTGCCTCAGTTGTGCTGGAGTGGGAGAGCAAGAGCAAGGATGGTAAGGTCACTGAGTCGTTCATAACTGATACCACAAGTCGACGTTTGAGACGAGTGGAAACGGAACCCTCAGATGATACGGCTTGCTGCTCCACGCCGTCTGCGTCTCTCAGAACTTCGAGGACTCCTCGTGGTGATCGCGGTGCTCGTGGTGATGGGAGGCGGGTGGAACGCAGTCGCGAGAGGGTCGAACGTGAACGGGCTGCTGCTGCCGCCGTCGTTGGAATGGGTTGTATTAAGTTGAGACGGTCCCTCTACACGAGGAATGTTCAAAAATAGTTAAACAAAAATCAGGGGACGATGTTTGGCTATTGTTGTTATTGTTGGTGTCGCGCCCGACCTAAGGGTGCTCATGGGGGAAAATCGCGGAACTCCCGAGGGGTTGCGCCGCCGCTGGGAGCGAATGGAACAGATCCTGCTGCTCTTGGAGACGCGATCGAAACTGCCGCCCCCTTCTTCTCACCTGAGAGACAGCGCGAGCAGCCCATGCGGCATGGGCTGCTCGCGCTGTCTCTCAGGTATGGGCGGCATGGGCGGCATGGGCACGGCCAGGGCATGATGCCCTGGCCGTGCCCTCCGCAATGCCGGCATCATTCGGCAGGCAGGTGGCGTGGTGGATGTGAACCCTTGGCTGAAGATCAACATTCTCCCACAGCGGCTGACCCTTTCGAAACCGACGCCCCATCGAGGCATACCAGTCATGGATATGCTGCAGTGGGTGGTCCGTGGGCGCGCGCAATTGGCAGGGATTGTTCGCGATGCGCATGCCAACTCATTCAATGAGTTGCAGGCCCCATGTGCAGCTGGGATTGCGAACGATGCGGCGGACGTGGTCCACCGAGTTGATGGCACCATCGACGCCTCGGCGAACCCTTTATTCATGCAGACCGAGGAGCCCGTCAATCATAAGTTTGAGTTTATGGTCGCAAGAGTGGTGGGGGGCGATCGGAAGATGGGGTCGATGGAGTTGGAACAGCAACGTATTGCGGCGAGATTGGATCGGCTCGCGCGTGTCTTTGGTCTGGCGAGAGCTCAACCTCCCATCCTTATACAACGCGCGGGAGACCGGGATGGGCCGCTTGACGTGCGCATCTAGGCCACCAGTGCAGCCGAGCAAGTCTTCCAGCCGGCCGTCGGCAATGCCTTGGCGGTCTGGTCGCAGGCGGCAGCCAATGTGAGCTGGGGGGTGGCCAGCTCGCTAAGAATTGCATCTTGCGCTTCAGAGCAGAGACGGGCTTCGCGGCTGAGGCTCGCACTCGTCGCGCGCGCGGTATTCTCGAGCCAGGCCCTGGTCAGCGGCGTCGCTCTCATGCGATGGCCCCCGGGGCTGGGGGTCCGGGATGTCCGCGGGGTGGGGCAGGAATATGCAGGGCAGGGGGCTCTCACGAAGTTGCGCCATGCTTTGCGTGCTCATCTTGAGAGGCGGCGCTTCGCGGGCGCAGTCTAGGGCCTGGGGCGCGCTTCTGCCGGGCTGGCAACTGGCGGCGGAAGCGTTTGCTCGGCCAGCTGAGGCTCTGAAGATTCAGCGGGGCAGCGCGGGGATCGCCGGGGGCGCGGCTGGTCGCAGTTGCCCAGGGGCACTTTTCGACGGCTGCGGCGAAGTTGTCGGGGTATCTATTTGCTTGGCACAGCGGTCGCAGTCTTCGCGCAGTGGATTTGGGTTCCGTGCTATTGCGACGCGGAGGGGCCGGCGAGGGGGGCCCGAGTTCTGGGCGAGGTAGGTGCCGAGCGGGGCTCCTTTGGAGCCTCGTTGATCCCGAGAGTAGTAGACCCGCGGTGATCGCGCGGCTGCTCAGAAGGTTGCGCAGAAGGCGGGTCTTCGCCATTGCGTTTACTCTGTTTGTTCCGTTGGGAGGTCACCGGCGAGCGGGGTCGCCGCGCTCGCGCCCCATGCCGCCTGCGGGGCCCCTGCCTTGCTGGAATCTACTCGCGCATTTTTGTTTCTGGCGCTGGAGCGCTCGCGATGTCGGTCGAAGCAGTGGCGCGATTCCTGCCGCGCGCGAGCGTGTCCGACGCCCCGTGAACTTAAATCAGAGCGATTAGTAAGGTTTGGTTTCCCGGTGCAAGGCGATCGAGAGTTTTGGGTTCTGGCAGGGTGAGGCGCTGCCCAAGTGGGGGGCGCGGGGGCGCCTGCGGGGGCGGTCGTCCTGAGGGGTCAGCTTGGAGAGCGCTCTGACGGCAGCGGGTTGAACTCTCGAGTCCATGGCCTACGTGCTGGCGCCTTGGGGCCCACTCAGCTGCCGTTGTTGTTCGCGCCTGCTCTGATGCTCCTCGTTGGGCCCTCTCTCAGGGGTGGCGGGCGGTCTCTGCGCTCTCAGAGCCTACGCGTGGAGTTGCGCCTCGAAGGCAGCTGGCGTGAGTGGCCATTGCCCCCCTTCTATCTCCTTCGCTGATCGTCCGCCTCCTCGCCTGGATCGCCCTCGCCCCTCCCTTCTCATTTGCAGTCGGATCTGTGCAGTTTGTCGAAGCGTAATTATGAGGATTTCGTCGATTCGGAAGCCCGCGGGCCCCCTGGGGGGCCCCCTCCCGCGGCCCCGTGCCGGCCGTTGGTTGGGGAGCGGCGCGCGATCTGAGAGTGGGCCATCGTCCGCGTCGTCCTGAGGGCGATGGCGGCGCGCTCGGCTGCGTGCGCGGATGCTCGGCGGCATGTGGACTCGGCGCGGGCGCTTCGCGCCGGGCGCGCCTGGGCTCGGGCGCGTTTCAGATTGGAGGGGGCTAGCAGAGCGGGGTTGTGCGCGAGCGCGTTGTGCTTCTGGCCCTAATCGGTCTTCGGCGCGGCGTGCGAGCTGGCGGCAGCAGGGGGCCTCGAAAGGAGAGGGCGTCGCGGGCAGGGCCGCTGAAGCCGCGCTTCTGGGGGGCGTCGGCGAGCGCTCGGGCGGAAGGGGGCTGCGCGGTGACGCGTTCAGCTTTGGAGCCCTTTTCTGGGGCGGAGGAAATCTCTGGCGCGCTCGGCGTCTGGGGCCGGCGGAGCTGGGCGAGCCCGCGGGGGCTTGGGGGCGAGCTGGCACCTTTGAAACTCTGGCCCGCTGTACAGGCAGCTCACAGTCGAAGAGTCGCCCGACGAATGCGACTTGTCGGGCATTCCCTTGCCGTCGATGGGGGGGCTCGGAGCATGTTTTGATTCGCGCTGCTGACAACGCCCCCGGGCCGACGGGCCTCGCGCCCGTGTCTCGAGGCTAAGGCTTGGGAGAGGGATCGGAATCCAGTGCGATTGCGCGTGCTGGATGCTCGGTGGACTTCCGATGCCATTTTGGTTCTCGGCATCGCTCGCAGCTTTCTCGCCTGGGCACGTGGCTGGGGGGCCTTGTGGACTCGCGGACCCCGTCGAGAGCCACGCGGTCCTCGCCTGATTGGCCGTGGGAAGCTCGGCTAGGAAGTGATCGGGGGGGCGGTCGGTCGCGCCCCCCTTCCCCCCCTGCCATTCAGATTAGCGGATCCCTGTCAGGGGGGATTCATGATTCATCCCTGGTCGTACAGGGTCTCGGGGGTGGGGCCGGGTGAGGTGGGCTCCGGTGGGGATGGTGGTCCGTCTGCCCTGCTGTCGTCAGATATTGGTCATGCTTCCTCGCGTCCGTCAGGCGCGGATGATATGATCAGTCGGGCAGTTTGATTTCCCGCGGGGGGTTCGGAGGGCTGTGCGCGTCTTCTACTCGTTTATTCCTTGCTACATGGGTGGCAGCAGCTTGTTGTTCCTCATACCTGATGTTTTCGGGAGTGGCACAATGCTTCCCATTGCCAGGCGCGCTCTTCATGCTGGAAATCAAAGCCCTTCCAGTGTGATTTTTTGGCCGGCCTCGATGACCAGCAGAGAGGCCGCGCGCGCGTGTGCCGACGGCGCCAGAGTAGCTGCTCGGAGAAAGCGAGGTTCGCATGCTGGCTAGGGCGTGCAAGCAGGCGGGCGCGCTTGCTAGCGTTGAGTTGAAATCTGCTGCATGTGATGCCATCCCGCTTGGCAGCTCTCTCGATGAGACGGCGTGGGCCGAGTTGCGCGCGTGGTTCGTCGGCGCTGGCTCCGGGGGGGGGCGCGTTTAAGATTGTAGGGGAGCTTGTGTATCTAGGGGTCCTCATGGGCCCTCTTGTCACCGATGCTGGGCAGTCGGAAGTCTCCCAAACGGGAGCTCCGCTCCCGAACCATTCAGGTCGCGTTACCCCGTGGCCTCTTTGGGGAAGAGGTAAAGTCGTTATTGCAGGGGCCCCTCGCGGCCCTGTCTTTTAATTCTCGGCAGCTTTCCACGCCTATCCCGAGGTTTGGTTTCTGCAAGATTAATGGTTGGAAGGTGCTGGCATGCCCCTGCTGCGGCCCCGTCGCATGCTGAGTGGTTTGAGCGCGCTGAACGGGGCCGCCCGAAATCCGCGGCGCGCTTTTTTGCGAGCGCTGCCGCGGCGATGAGGGCTCCGCTTCAGATCCTGTCCGCCTGGGGGCATTGGGTTGCTGGGCTGCGATCAGAGTCTGTCAGGTGCAGCCCTGCTGCCCGGTGGAGCGGCGGCAGGTTGGCCCTTCTTGTTTGTCTGCGCAATGCGATCGCAGCGAATCTCGAGCTCGCTCTGAAAAGGGCATCCTGTTCAGAGGGCGCATCGTCGCAGGCTCCCTGCTGAGGGCTCCCGCGGGGCCCGTGTGGCGAGAGGTCGTTAGGCCGCCCTCTCAGCCTTCCTTGACCCGCCCGCTCGAGACCCCCCGGGGCGCCCGAAGAGGGAAGGCGCCTTCTGGAGTTGTTTCCATGCCCCTCTGCCCCCCCCCCCGCCCCCCCCCCCCCTCGACTTTCGCACTCGGGCTCGCGTTCGTCGCTCGCCCCCCCCCCCCCCCCCCCCCCGCCCTCCTTCGGTCGGGTCGGGTCGGATCGGGCCGCGCGCGAGTCATTGCTGCGCTCGCCCGGGGCGTGGGCCCAGATCGCCCCCGGGACCTGCGCTGGGTCTCGGATCGCCGGCAACAGGATGGCCCGACGCGGCTCGAGGTGCTTGTTTGGCTGTGCGGCTCCAGGTTATGTTCGCCGGTATAGGTGCCAGCGCGCGCGATTCTACTGGGTCGCGTCGCTCGCTTTGAGGTCCTGGCTCCCACGGGGAGTTTATTGTCGCGCCATGTCTCCGATGCGGCTCTCTCGCTTTTGCGGTCGTGCGCCTCCATGTTCGCCGTCTCGGCTCGATTCATTATCGCGCCAACCTTCCTGTCTCGCCCGCTGATGCGCGGGCCCTGGTAGACGCCGTTCGCGTCTCCGTCCGCCCCCTCGCAAGACGGCGCCAAAGCCACCTTTGCAGCGTGGGCTTTGTTGGCGAGATTGTCGAGGAGGCCCTCCAGGCAGGGGGGGCAGGGTAGAGCGGTTTGGAGCTAGACTCTTCCCTCGCGCTTCGCCTCCCCTTAGATCCCTCCCTAGAATTTTATAACCTCCGTGGTCGTCTTCATCGTGGTCGTCGTCGTCCTCCTCCTCCTCCTTGTCCAAGCGGTGCAGAACCGTGCTGGCTTTCTTGGAAGCCTTTTTGAACGCCCGTTCTGAGGCCTTCCAGGTCGCAATGAGAAAACCTCTTGGACATCCTCCTGCTCGCCCATGTCTTCATCTGAGCGCCCGTGCGCCCAACATGCTCGCAGTGTGCGGAGGGCGGTGACGCGGCCTCATAACGCCTCCCGCGCGAACTTGTTTACGACGGACACCGACGCGCAGTGCCTCAACCAGAAGGCCGAAACAGGACTCCAGAAGACCTCTGCTCCAATGATGGACAAGGAAAAGAGTCGACCGCACCAACCCATGCTCAATCACGCTGATACCAAGAAGCTGCACTTCCTCGTGGCCGCGCAGACTGGCGCATGCAGGAATGCGGTATGTCAACGGGCGCCAGCGTTGAAATATTGGAGCCCCGCAACCCGCGCAGACAAGTTGGAGGTCCTGCCGGCGTAGTTTCAAACCGCGTGCTGGCTTGATGTTCGGCGACCAGCCCCAGGAAACTGGATGAGTACGGAGAAGAAGTGGTTGCTTGCAACCATCGAATCTCTTGGCCCGGGTGGCCAGAACAACGAACATGTCGCCCATCACCTGCCAGAGCCGCCGAAACACAAGGCGACGGAACACACGACTGCACACCTGCAGGATCAAAGATGCCAATGTGGGTGGGTGGCCCAAAACACATCCAAAACATCTCGCATCGGGGATCTACGAATTTATGGAAGGCCGAGCGCACGTCCCTTCAAAGCAATATGTCGCAACCCACCAGCTGGCCATCGTGTGCAGCGCCACCTTTGTCGGCGCCAGCTCCCCACGTGCGTCCGCCTTTCCGCGCCCCAACAGGCCCATCGGACCGCGCGCAGAAAATGGGCCAACCCAGGTCTGAATCAAAATAAGTAGGGGGATGATTTTGGCTCAAGTGATGGATATGTCTCCACTTGAACCAAATCAGCTACGGTATGTTTTCGTTTTCGTCTTCCGCCTCTCTCCTGTCCTATTCATCCTTCCTCCCCCTTCTCCTCCGGTTGCTACTCCCCTGGCGCCTCTTCCCCGCCCTTCCGTGGAAGCCTTGGAACCCCGTAGTTGTTGTTCCGAACGTCGAGGGATTGTTTTGTTTTTCTGAAGCCGTCTCGAGAACCCATTGGAACAACCGAGGACACCCCAAAATCGCCCCGAACCCCACATAACCCCAACCGAATTTTCCAGAGCACCCCCAGGGGAGCCCCTTTGGACCACAACCCGCGAGGCCCCCTTCATGAACCTCTTAGAGAGCACCAGGCCCAGACATCCGAACATCTGATTTTTGCAACGCGCGGCTTCGAGGAGGTCCCGACCCCTTCGCCAGGGGTGGCGTTCCGCGTCAAATTTTGATGGTCCTGGACGCCGTCGGATGTCTGGGGACCTCCCTCCTCTGCCTCACAACGCTGCAGAATCTGCGGTAGCCGTCCTCCTGGCCTGTCAGTGCCGCCTAGGGTCCGATCTGTTACGATTCGATTCGCCAGTTGGGGATGCGCTTCGATTCAGGCATCGGCAGATCTGACTTGAATCGATTCGGGACGCTCCGCTGACGACTCGATCCGGCTCGGGCCTGTGTTTACTCGCCGCCGCCGCTGCGGCCGCCGCCGCCGTCGACGACGCCTCGGATGGGGTTAGGACGGGGATAAATCCGTTCCAGAGCGTTCCGTGACGCTCTCAGGGCGTTGCGGGACGCTCGGGGAAGGCCGCGGCGCCCGAAATATCTTCCAGAGCCGCCGGATCTCAGAGGTCCTCGATTTATTGTCATCCGATGTTGTCCTCGTCCTGGTTTCGTCTTGGACGCCGTCCAGGCGGCGCCGAGCTCCGCCGGTTTCCTGGGCAAGCTCCTGCGGATCATCCGCGTGGCCAGGATCATGCGCATTTTGCGCACTGTGAGGCTCGGGCCCGCACTCTGGGGGCCGAGAGCTCGGGGAGGGATCTCGCGGACCTCCGGCGGTGTGTTGTTTACCCGTCGGCTGTTGCGTGCAGGTGTTTTTGGATGCCCAAGTCCCAATCTATTTTAGGCGCCTTCCTGTTGCCCTGGCCTAGCCGAGCTTACGTAGAAGTGGGTTACACGGGCCCTGAGTGGTTCATGAGGGTAAAATTCCGGAACGTCGCAAACGGCGAACGACCGCAGTCTTGCATCGGCTCCCGCGCGGTGTTGCCTCGACTTCCGCCCGCCCTGCCCGCCCTGCCGGATTCGCCTGCGGAATACATGTTGGCCCGCTCTTGCGTGTGCAGTTGCGCTTGTGCAACTCGTGTCTCGTGCCAGCCGCTCGTCGGCCGCACAAGGCATCTCGCTTCTCGCCTTTCCCTGACTCTCTCTCTCTCTCACTCTCTATCCCTCCCCTCTTCCTCTTTCGACCAGCTCTAGCACGGTGGAGTCCTTCCCGTCCGTTGGGAAGCTGCCGAGGTCTATCACCAGGTCCTTATACAGCTGGACCGAGGTATAAGATCGAGGTTGGTCCGAGGAGGGTGCCCCAAGGTCCTTCGTGTTCGTTGGATGCTCTGGTGCATCCTGGGGAGGGTACCCTTGGATGTTCTGTGCATTTTGGCCGGCAGAGGGTCGCATATTCTTGAGGGATTCTCTTCTGGCCCAGCTCCGACTGCAGCATGTTGGAGTACCCTCCACATCCGTTGGGCAGCTGGCGATCTCCATCACCGGGTCACCGCACTCGGCCGCGAGCGAGGGGGGGAGGTGAGAAGGAGAAGGGCCTTCTGAGAAGGCGGGGGGCCTTCTCAGAAGCCCTCGCGCCTCCTGAGCAGTGTTCCGTCTCTCCGCGGGATGGCTTGGACAACTTCTCCGAAGGCCGGGGGGCTCCCGAGCCTTCCGAGGAGGCCCGCCCCTCCTCACTTCATATCGCTGCGAGCCCCGTGCTTGAAGTCCGATCAGCGTGAAACACATTACACCAGAGGAAAACCCCAATCAGTGGATGGCTTTCGCTGAAGAGATCGACCGGGAACCCGGGAGCCCGGGAACCCAGATCCCACCGAAATCGGCCCGTAACCAATAACCGGGAACACGGGAACCCGGAACCGGGAACCCGGGAGCCCAGCTTGCTACCAAAATCGGCGGGAAACTTTTGCCAAATCTTTCAACTTCCACTAGGACCTTTTTTGTGCAAGCACTGATTGGGGAATTATCACTGTCCTCCTGGGCTGGCCGCCGATGCACGAACGGGACAGAGCTGGGGGCGCTGCAGGCCGCGGGGCGAGAAGAAGCACAACAAAAAACACAGGGAGGGGAGCTCTGGGCAGCAGCGGCTCCATCGCCGAGCGCGGACGGCCCTCTCCCGAGGTGGTCCCAGCTGGCCTCGGTGAGTTCTGCTGGCATCGGCGAGTTCTCGTCGAGTCTACGGCGAGTGCGCAGGATGTTCGCAGACCTGCGATCTGCCCAACATGTGTTTTCTCGTCGGATCTACGGCGACTGCGTAGGATGTTCGTAGATCTGCGATCTGCCCAACAGTTGGTTTCATCGTCGCATCTGCGATGGATGCGTAGAGGGTTCGTAGCTCTGCGATCTTCCCAACATGCTTTTCCTCGTCGCATCTACGACAGATGCGCAGAAGGTTCGTAGATCTGCGAACCTTGCAAATATCCTTCGTTTATTCGACCAAAAAGCATGTTTTTTGGGGCAAATGAATTCTGTAGTCGATCGCCTAAGGCGACCCCGCCCGAGGGCGTTCAAGCTTGAACGCCCTCAGTGGCCCAGAATCGGCCAAATGTGGAACGATCTTGCGATCGAAACGCCGCCGATCGTTCCAGGTTGAACGATCCACGCGGTGTCAGCAACCAGCGCTGGGGTCGCCACGACACGAACCCGCCGTGCTCGAGCTTTGGGAGCGGCGCGAGCAGATTTCGCTCCGCCAAGTCGCTCTGGACAGCGGCAGCGTGGGCCGCGCGCGAGCGGGCGGAGGGCCGTCTTCTCGCCCCGGGCGCCGCGGCGATCTCGCTCTCGGACCCTGAGATCCGGGTGTCGAGGAGGAGGAGGAGGAGGAGGAGGAGGAGGAGGAGGAGGGGGCGAAGCAGGAGTGAGGAATTAGGAGGAGGAACGTGGTCTCGCATGTTTTGCACTGCGGGCGATTCTGCCGTAATTATGTCGGTCTCCCGGGCCCTCACATATCGGTTCGGCTCGAAAGATGGTGCAGAAGGATGGGGCACCAGGGGCTCCGGTGGAGTTCTGCTGCGATGCTTCGGGTGTTCCGTGGCACGAGAGTGGCACTGCTGCTTCGGGCGCGGCGCCTGCTGCGTCGTCGCTGTTCTCGCCAAAGGTGCGACCGCGCGCGAGGGTTTGGCGCCAAGGGGGGGGGAGAAAGGTGCCCCTTTCGTTCCTTAAAGGCCCCCTCTGGGGCCCTTAAGGGCCCCTCTAGGGGCCCGAAAGGGCTCCTTTACTGCAGCCCTCGATGCCCCCCTCTTTATCGCCCCCTCATTTGTTCGCGCCCAAGAGGGGGCCGAATGGCGAGGTGATCTTGCCGAGGCGCCCGGTAGAGGTGTTCTGGGGGCTCTGCTCCCGTCCGTGCGTGGCCCGCTTTTTCTGTTTGTGCTTGCTTCCTCCTCGCCAGGTCGTCGGGAGCAGGAGCACGCGCGAGGAGGGAAGCGCGCCACTCCCAATTCGACTACATGTAAGAGTGGCCTTTCGCCGGAGTGACCTTTGGTGCGGGCCCATTGGGGTCCCCCCTATCGCCGAAAGCGATGCGGCAGTAGCGTTTCGCGCGCTTGAGCTCGGCCCCCCACGGCCCCCCAGAAAGCTGCGCACCAAAGGTCACTCTTACCCAGAGTCATTCTTGCGTGTAGCCGACCACTGCCCAGTTGCGCCACGCTGCGGGAGGGGGGGTGGGATGGGGGTGGGCGGGGCTCCGCCGCAATCGTACATGCACAGACACCCTCCACTGGCTTGTCCCTGGGCGGATGGCGGTGTGTATATATATATATATATTCATATCACCACTGCGAGCCAGCGATTCTGTACACCGTCGCCTTCCCTGAAGGTACACGCAGCATTCGTCGGAGGGTGTCTGTGTACATACAGTCGGGGCGCTGAAGAAGGAACCCTTTTCGTTGGGGAGGGGCTCAGTGTTCCTTCATTGTTGTGCAGTTTGCCTTGTTTTTTTGTCCTTTGGTCTTCCATGGGAAATCGAATTTTAATCTATGGGAACAATGGGGCCTCGTTCCTAATTTGAGGTTCCTTAGGTCAGCGCCCCGACTGTGTCTTCGTGGCGTACTTGGAGGGAGGGTGGGAAAGTGGGCGGGGCCCGCGGGCTCGGCCGACCTGGCTTCGTACACTTGCTGCTCCAGCTCCTGCATCCCTGGCTGCTGCCGCTGCCCCTCGGCGCCCCCCCTCTCAAACTCGCAGGCTTCTCGCCGTCGCCCGGTGATCGTGCTTTTATTCCTTGTTTTGCCGATCGGCGCGGGCCCTCGCACCCCCCCCCTCCCCCCCCGTCGTGGAGTAGATCTTGGCTGTGTTTTGGCGCCTGTTTCGAGCGGGTGGGGTCTCCTCCAGAGGCCGCACTCTTGCAAACAGCCGCGCTAAGCAGAGGTCCGGAGCCAGACCCCCCCCCTCCCCTCCCCCTTCCGCCCAATGTCGCAACGCCGAGTTAAAAAAAACGCTCGCCTGCCTCCACGAGGACGCTCGGGGCCGTCAGAGACATGGCTCAGGACGAAGAAAGCGCGGCCGTGGGAAAAGGGTCGGGATCTCTCCGGAGCTCCGTCTTGAAAAACAGTTGGCCGGATCTCTGGGCAGCAGCGGGCTGGAAGCATACATGGCTGGAATTCGCGTGCGGAAGCCCCCTGTCCACCCGCCAGGGGCGGCCTCATCGACCCCTAGCAAATCATCCCCTTCCGTGACGTCCTCCTCGCCTCGCCCCAAGACGTGTGTGTGTGTGGCTACGGCCTCCCTGGATAGTCGAGCGTGACACCAGGTGGGTGAAGGAGCAGAGCAAGGCCGACTTCTACTGCCAGGGGTGCCTCCGTGGCCCGCTCAAGCACGACAAAGGAGCGTACGTCAGCAAGCGGATCTGCCAGGTCATCACGGTCAACAGGCAGACGGAGTACTACCAAGGGATGGACCTCACCTGGCTGTGCACTTGCTGTTGGACCACGAAGGCCATGCAAGAACGCCTGCCCATCCAGGAGGACGTGGAATTCAATGATTGGATCAACGATTGCCCCGACGACATGCCGGTGCGCACCACGCGTGCCCTGCCGGGGCGTTGCCCAACGCCGGCGCCCACGGCATTCACACCCCTGGAGCAGCTCCTGGTCCCACTGGACGGCGAAATGAACCCGCTCAACATGGGTACCAGCAGCACGACGACGACCGGCTGATCTCCCAGTTCCACACGAGCAGCGTCGGCATTTGGCGGTGCGACGGCTGCCCGCCCGGCACAAAAGGGCACAGGTGGCAGCCTGGACAGCCCATCCCTGGCATGTACACGGCCACGCCGCTGACCCTGAAGGCCTCCGCGCTGGCCTAACCTGATCCACGGGCTTCCACCAGTCCAGCTCATGAAGGAGATGTTCCTGTCCAAGCGCTGGCACGCAGGCTGGTACTGCGAGGACTGCCTGATCCACCAATGGGATATGGCCCCGTCCGCAGTGCGGCGCGTGCTCGACAAGTACGGCCCTGCGGTATACCCTGGCCACGGAGCCAAACCCCTCGCCGCGCTACCCGGCATCCCTGCCGCCCCCACAGGGGTCGCATTGCGCCCCAGCCAGCAGGAAGTGCAACGGCGGGCTGCCGCCTGGGATGAGGAGGCGCGCGCCCACCAAGAGCGCCTTCGCGGCGCACCGCCGCCTCCGCCGGAAGATCAGCAACAGCGCCGCGCCTGGACGCGAAGGATGACGGCCATGGAGACGCACGTAAAGGTTGTGGCGCAGATGAGGGGCCAGGACGCAGGTG